CACACTGTGTTGTGAATAGCTGTAATGTTGAGTTTGTGTTTCTTTTTCACGTGATTTTTGGAAATATATATAATTGCTCACCTTCATACGTGTCTTTTACTTTGAAAAAAACCTTTCAAGATGCCAAAAGTAAAGCAGTATGAACAAAAATTTCAGAATGAGTGGCTGCATGATGGCATAATTAAAGACTGGGTGATGGCAGTTCCTGGGGAAACGACTAAGGCTCGTTGTAAGTACTGTAAGTGTGAAATAAAGCGAAAATACAAGACTTAAAGAGTCATGCAGAGACTTAAAAGCATAAGTAAAACTGCAGTTCCGTTCAAAGATATTACACCGCTGACATCTGTTTTCAGAACTACACCAATTATTGAATTATCAAAAGTTGAAGGTTCTGTTGCAATGTTTTTAAGTTGTCATTGTGCTATTTCGAACTGTGGCCATTTGATTGATTTGTTAAAAACACTATTTCTGATAATACATATTATGAAGAAATCTTTATTTTCTTACTTCGAAAAAGATTTTATCAGTGATATTTCTACAAATAAATATAGTTTATTATTAGAAGAATCGAATGACATTTCTGTACTGAAAGTGCTTGGTGTGTGTATTATATATTAGAGCAACAGTAAGGACAAGGTAGTTTCTACATATTTTGGACTAGTTCAATTGGAAAAGTGTGATGCAGAAAGTATAATTCAGTAACTGAAACATTTTTTGATCAGCAAACAGTTAGATCTGAAGAATTTGGCTGCAGTTGGTCCGATAATGCCTCGGTGATGGTTGGTATAAACAATGGCGTTTATGCCAAGTTGAAGGAAGCTATCCCATCTTTAATTCATATAAAATGTGTGTGTCATTCCTTGCAGCTAGCATTTTCACATACATCATCTGAATGTATACCAAGGAATTTGGAATACCTTATTGCTGAAACACATAACTGGTTTTCCAAATCATCTGTCAGACAACAGCAATACAATAACTGGTTCTCCTTGCAATAACGGTCGCTACTTGGACGGCGACGGCCGCTTAGTCGGAGTTCAGTCCCCTGGCTGCAGTGCAATTACGGAGTGGACAAGGCACGAATCACAAAACACAGTGAGTTCAACATGCCGTCTAGACCACGCGCTGCGACTCACATTAGCCTAACCCTAACCCAAACCCTAACCCAAACCCTACCCCTAACTCTAATTATGTCATTTGTGTCGTTCCCTCTTTTCCACTCCGTAATTGCACTGCAGCCAGGGGACTGAACTCCGACTAAGCGGCCGTCAGATTGCAAAACTTAATGGTAATAAATTCAATTAGCTGTTGAAAGAATTGTGAACCCAAGGTTAGAGTTGAAGACACACTTCGAAATGACACGGCAAAGTGAAAAGTGCTACACAGCTGAAATACTATATGGAATGTACAGTTGCGAAAAAAAATTTGCAATCCTGTCCTTTTTACAACCTATTGTAATGGAAGTGAACAAAATTAATAAACTGTTCGAATCTAAACATGTTGTTAAAATACTTGACGATCTCACTTTGCTATTTCACTCGGTAAAAGACTGGTGTTGCCATTTTCTGAAGCTGATTTGCTCACTTGCACTAAAGAGAGCTATTTGGCTCCTAAGCCATACCTTGGATATCAAATCGAATCAAAAATTGATGATTTAAAAACAAAAGGACTATTAACCAAAAAAACAAAAACAAAAATGAAGAGAGCAATTAGGAAAACGCCGTCAAAATTTCATTATCTCATTATTCAAGCAACTGAAACATAGATTTCCTGAAAATCTAGATGTAGTTAAAAATATTTCACTCTATTCTGTGAGTAACATACTTCAGCCAGTAAATGACATACCTATATATTGTAAAGCTATGAAATTTTTAGGGGTTACTGATAATAGTGTGGCGGAAGCAGAAAATCAGTTAACCAAAATAAACTTGGTTGACTGGACAAACAAAACAGAAACTAAAGCGTTTTGGAGTGAAGTGAGACAATTTAAAGATACCTCGGCAAACAGTCCATTCTGTAAGCTCTTTGAAAATGCAATGTCTGTCATGATACTACCCTTTTCAAATGCTGACGTAGAAAGAGTTTTCAGTGCTATCAATTATAACAAATTGAAGCTAAGAAATAGTATGAAACTTGATCTCTTAAATGCTATATTGAAAATAAAATTCAGCCTGATGAGAGTAGGAAAATGCTATTCAACTCATCTGCTCCCTGATTGTGTATTCAAAGAAATTGGAACAAATAAAGCACACCAGAGTGCTTTTGGATCTGAAGCTTCAACTTCATCATCCAAGCTAAGTTTATCCTGTGGGTCTTGTGAAGTAAAGATAATGACATGATTCTATCGGGTCATATCAATAACTGTGTAATTTTTGACTATTTCCATTTGGATGTTTTGTCTAGATCCCCCCCCCCCCCCGAATAAATCTAGATATATTTAGATATTTTCTGACCTGTTTCTGGATGTTTTCTGTCAAAGAAAAGTGGCAACACTGCTAATAATAATAATATGCCCTTTCAGTTTGCAGACGACACGATTCGACAGGGACCCGCGATCACCTCAATCTTTCTTCTCGGTAATTTACCTTGATGCAGAGACAGCTGTTTCCATGTTCTTTCGTTTAAATACATTATTTTAGGATACAAAGTTCTACTAGATACGGTTACAGAAACGAAGAAGACATTAAACGGCCGTCGTTTGTCGTTGTTTACCACCCGAGGATTTCTCATTTCCTGACTGCGGCTAAAAATAAAGTCAAGAGTATTAATTATAAATATATGAATAATTTACACTGTAAACATCTCTTTTAACCCCAGCTTAGTCAAAATAATCACATTAAAGTTGGCTCTGTTGAAAAAACAGATCAGTCTAGCCTTGCAAATTTCCGTCGTTTGATTTTGCAAAACATACGCAAATCAGTCGTTAGTTAATCAGATTGGACGAAATGAAAGGAAGTATGTGGGTATGATGGCTGTGAATTATTTAAGACGAAGTTCCAGTTTTAACTTACTACTCTAGTCTTTTACATCTGGCACTAATGGTACTCAAATAAGTAAAATGAAATATGAATCATATAATTGGTCATTATTATATTAATTATCATAAAATTAAAAGTATAAGTCATTTAATCTAATGAAAATTAAGGTAGCAAAAGTTTTGGCTATCCTCCGAATAAGAGCCACATATTATAGCGGCCAAAAACACACCCTGACAGGGCCTCAGTCACATGTAAATTGCGGACTTCCGGGGACTTGAATTGCAGACTTCCAGTGACTATACCGCCACCGCCAAGAGTATCTCCTGCGTCGCTACGCGCAGCGCGGAGCTAAACTAGATGGCTGGGACTGACAAGCAGCAGTTTCCACATCTCCTGCAGCTTTGCTCGGGAGATACTCTCGACTCTGGCAGTATAGTTGCAGGAAGTCCACAATTTACATGTGACTGAGGCCCTGTTTTTGGCCGCCATAATGTGTAGCCGTTATTCGGAGGATAGCCAAAGTTTTTTTTAAAAATTATTTCAGTCTGCCTATATGATTTTGTTTTAGTAGTTACAGTGAAGAGGTCAATAAAAGGTAGAGAATATATGTAGTGTATAGAACTCATAGTTGTTAAATATTAAAATAGTGTTTTATATTTTGGCTTATCTACACTAAACTTTGTTTTATACTTTTATTATCGTAACTTATGTTGTTTTATCTTAAAACTGGCGGGTCGTACAAGGCAACTAATTAGGAATTTGGCTCTACTGGCAAATCCGGACGAAGAATAAACAGCCTTGGACGACTTAGTCAGAGTTCTCTCCCTTGGCCGCACTCCAAACAGTGATCGGAAAACAAACGAAACAAACGACACACTTACCTATCATCCTGCGGTTGCGTGTAGGGCTGCGTACGGTTGCGTGAGGCATCGTGGCATCATCATATGGTTGCGTGCAGGGTTGCGTACGGTTGCCTGAGGCATTGTAAATGGTTGTGTAGTCATCATCATGCGGTTGTTGGATTAGAGTTAGGGGTAGGGTTAGGGGTAGGGTTAGATGTTAAAATTTTGACGTAGGGTTTCGAAATAGTGGCCGACAATCTGATGTTTTTGGGCGTGGCGCCACTGAAATTCTGCTAAATATGACGCCAATAGTGTGCGGCTGGTGCCCAATCGTTGGCGAATGGTGCGTTTCACCAGCATCCAGAGGCCCTCAATTGTTTGTGTGTGTATGTGACTGTGTACGGCGTCGACGAAGTTGGTCTGGTGGACTACTACCTCATGCAGATAGATGCCATGCCGTAAGTTTGCCTTGTTGCTGTAGCCTCGCCAAGCCCAGTGCAAACACTACACCTAGTATTACAGCGATAACATCGCCAACCGTATCTGTCGCTACAGTCTTGCCCGGGACATAGGAACATTGGAACATAGGACATAGGAACATTGGCACGAGGTACACGGTTGCGTGTTCCTTATCAGACTATGCTCAGCTAGCCACCGCAACCACGCATACTTATCTGTCATTATGGCATACAGGTCTGCAGGAGTTACGTCCGTGGCAACTAAGTCGTGCGTCGGAAGAACGATGTTAGTTATGTGAGTGCGTCTAACTGCCATGTTGCTTGTGTCGTTTGTTTCGTTGTGGCTTTTCCGATCACTGTTTGGAGTGCGGCCACGGGAGAGAACTCTGACTAAGTCGTCCAAGGCTGTTTATTCTTCGTCCGGATTTGCCAGTAGAGCCGGAATTTTCCTTTGAAGTCAGAATGCATCTACCAGAGAGGTGAGAAATCAGTAGTCTGCATCGAAATAAACCATATGTGTAAAACAGATATACACACAAAGCTCTAAATTTTTGAACAGATCAAAGTCTAGAAGTGGAGGAGCAACCAGAAATGTCTGCCCATGTTTGCAGCTGGTAAATTCTAACAACAGTAAGAATATGTGAGCTGATGATACGCTTGAATGAAAACATCTTATTTTGAAAATTTCATAATCCAGTTAGGTCATTCAGGAAACAAACATCATGGCAGATAATCCGTACGGTCCAGTGACTATGTCAGATTCATCACATCTAACAGATGATGACTGGGAACTATCACTGCCTCCGATTAAATACAGGAGTTACCCAGGAGCAGACAAGTAAGGCTTAGACTTTTAGAAAATGAGTTTTTGTTGTCTGTTGGTAATTATTGTTGTTGTGGGAGAGGAACAAGTCCATCACTACATGTGATTCGATTCAGGAATTGATATCTTAGGACAACGGGCATACCTATATATGCTCCGTCTCTTGCAGCAAATATCTCAAGGTGTAGATGCTGACTGTTCTCATCGCACTCTGATAATACGACTGATTTTCTACCCCACAAGGACATCACACAAGCGATAAACACCCGATGACACAAAGTGCCACCATGTGGATGAGGATTGCCGTGGAAAGGTCCCAGAAACCGCGTTCAGACAATTGGCCATATTTATGGCCTACCTATATTGCGGCTCTGATAATACATCGTTCTCATCCTCTCATACGCTCCTCCTTTGCCAGATCAAGTCCTGGTTCCACATTCACACATTCTTGCATGTTATTTTATCTAACATGTGTACTTCCCACCACAAATGGTGACGCTGTACCAGGACGAGGGCTTAGACTTGTTTACACCTCACCATGATCATCAAACAAGTTGCCTGCCAGCTCGGGGCTAGGCCAGCATAGATAGGATTGACATTCTCTTTCTTCTTCTTCTTCTTCTTCTTTTTCTTAGCATTCTCCAACTGTAAGCTTCAGCAAAAAAGTTATTGTTGTGCATCCATTTCTGGACTTTCTTCTTGTTCCAGAACTTGAGTTTTGCTAGCCGGTCTGTTTTACAGATCTGGCCTAGTTATATGCACACTGTTGGTTTCTAACCTCTCTGGTCGATGCACTATGAATTTACCCCCCCCCCCCCCCCCCTCAACTCCCCCAATGGGGCCCCAGAACCCACACAGAGAAACATTTCCTTTGAAATTGGAGCAGATCTGCCTGCCACTAGTTTGCATACAATAAGCCGGTTTTGTCAAACTGGTGTGCACACAAGACTCTAGTCCTAGAGCAAGAACAAAGTTAAGATGTGGGCAAACAGTTAGGATTTGCCACCAGGGATTACAGCCGGTGAATGTTAACATTGTCATCATCATAATAACTTCTTGTTGCTTCATTGTTAATATCATCAGGTTAGTTCATTTAAAGTCTGGTATCTTTTTGCATTTAAGCTCCTAAGGTCCTCTCCTTCTTTTTGATGAGAGTCCACTTTTGAGAGCTATTTGGTGTTACTGGCTAGTTGTCTTTAGTGGATTTTTTTTCTTTTTGCAGCTGTTTCAATGCTATTTGATGTTGAAAATTTGTTTCTTTAGATGAGATTTCTGACATTCTTGTCATCTGCCTTTGTCATTGCTTTCTCTTTGTGTTCACTTTTAATGTTTTTAGTTTTTGTTTGTGTTCACTGGTGTAAACCCCTGGTTGAAAGACCTGGTTGTTCATCCATTTCTGGACTTTACCTTTGTTCCAGGACCTAAATTTTGCACATACATCTGTTTTACAGATCTTACTTATTTGAATGCAGACTGTTGGTTTCTTGCCTCTCGGGCAGATGCACTCCGACTTTAAAGAAAGCTAACAATTAATCAACTCTTACAACATGCTTTTTTGGGGATGCAGAGGGTCTGTTTTTGTTTTCCCCACAATAGAACCCCGGAACCCACACGGGGAACTTTTTATGTGTGATAAATAGTGTACAAAGGAGACAGGACATACAAAAATACATCATTACTAAATGAAACCGCACTGGATGTTTTTGTCTTCATTAGCAGTATGTATATCTGTCATTAAAAATTGAATAAATATATTAACATGTGCATTTAATTATAGAATAGGAACACACTCTGATTGGTTTTATTTTTTTGTTTTTTGACATGTCATATTTATGGATGTTTTTCCTTGTTCTTATTATCAGTGAGGGGGAGGGGGGCTGTTTTTAATCACATTTTGTTATTTTAATAAAGTGCACAGAAATAATACATTGCACAATTTATTGCTATTCATATTTCTCTGGTGCCTTACTCCAGAGCTACTTCAACATAATGAAGGACAAAAACTGAATAAATTCCACTGAAATACATCTGTTATCTCTCTATGTGTTGTGTTTATCTAGTTAAAAAAAAGTTCACTATAGTCACAGGACTTGCCACAAGAATTTCAAATTGACAATCAATTCCTTCTATTTACATAAGAGGGCTTACAATAGAGAGCTTACATAACACATTTTTCTATGTTTGGCCTGGAGGGGAAAAGGGGGGAATTTGAAGTCTGGCCTCATACTCAAAGGGGACACCACCTGGAAAAGGTTGTAGACAACTGGTCTAAGGTTGCCCACAGCTGGTCTTGCAGTGTAGCTCTTCTTTTGACCAAATCCGAACCCTTGCCTAGAGCAGATGGAGCAATCCTGCAGCACATGTTTGGGAGTAAGTCTGCTCTGTAGTCGCAGCTGGCAGATTTTTGTGTGTGCATATTCTGGTTAGGTATGATCTGAAACCAGAGTCCCATCCGAAGCCTAAAATGTATTGTTTATAATTTCCTGCTGTTTAATTGAGTCACATAAGGATACACAAAATTGTTTTTAGAACTGATTGACTTGCATGAATATAATTGTATTTCAGAATAAAGTCTCTGTGCAATGAATTACGGGATCGTCACACAACTTTCACACTTGCCACCACAGGAGTGTGTGTACTTTTTCTCATCACAATGGTTGTTATCACTCTTGCAGTCGGCTACAACACTAAGAGGCTGCCTGCTGATTTCCAGCTAAAATGGCATCACAATTATCGAGGTATTATTTGTACAACTTGTAGAACAGTTATGCTGAAAAGTTGCTTTCTAAAAAGATTGACAAAATATGTTACAATGAAATTCCTACTCTGTTTAAATCCGCACTAATTGCTGACATGATAAGTTCCAAAAGAATGCAATGGCTGGGGCATATATAAGAGAGTGACAGATAGCAGAGATACAAAAACTATACACAGAGAAGTTGAATGGGAGTAGACCACATACTGCTTTTTGAGGGGCAGTGGGTTTGTCCCCACTCCGCACCCGCACATCCCTTTTTAAATGGGCCTTGAAACCCACTTAAGGAGTTTTTATAAAGATAAGATGCCCTATTATAATGACACCGTGGTTTCTCTGGTTGTCTTTCCCATTTGGTGGTCCATAGGTCCTCTTGAGTCTGCGGAACACATTTAATGGGTACATGATATTAGTTACCAAAAATTCCCCTCAGATTTAGAATGCAAATCTTTGTGCAATTTTTACATTTTTATATTATGATAAGTTCTTCTGTATGGCTAATAAAAATTATGGATTTTTCTGTGGCAGACCTGAAAATTAGACTTGAAAATAAGATGGACATGCAGATGTTTGCTAGTTGAAAATGACTGCTCTAGCTTATAGCCTGATTTCAATTTCAGTTTGTATAAATAATTCTGCTTTGTCTTCAGGCTTGGAATTTTATCCTGTACCAGAGGATAAATCTATTTTGATATACTTTGCACCCAACGACTTCATCACATCAGTGTCACATCCCATCAGACAGTCTCTGGACAGTGTTCTTGGCAGTAAGCGTTGTGTGATTTTATTCTCAGTTTGGTAATCTCAGGTAGTCATTCAAAGGTTGAGGTGAATAGCTGACCGAGCGGTCACAGTGCTGGGCTTTTATGCAGAAGGCCTGGGTTAAATTCCAGGTAAGGGATGGAAATTGTTTTCTGGGAGGAGCAGAAATAGAAATTATAATCTGCACATTTTGTTTTCCACTGCAATAGCCATGTGACCTTTAATTCTCAGGCCCCCTTGTAATTTGCAGTCCTAGAAATGGCAGATACAGGCAGTAAATACTGTTGCATGAGTTTCCGGTTTCTTTTGTGTGTGTATATTAACAAAAGAATTTAGTCCTAGAGCAAATACTCACATAGAACATGAGGCTATTTCATAAAAATTGTGTGCCTCGTTAAAAAAAGTGTTATAAGGTTGAGCACAGGAGCCATAGTAGCGTTGTGGCTATATGTCTGCCTGCTGGCCTGAAGATCTGATGTTTGAATCTGCATTGAGGCATAATTTTTTTTTTCACATTTTACCTTGGCAGCCAGGTTAACCCTGCCTAAAATGTGTACCAGGTAATTTCCTGAGAAGTAAAGGCGGCCGGCTTGATGTTGACCACATCCCCAACTGAGCCCCAGTTGATCTATAAAATAGAAGTCTAGCATCATGTGCTCGATGCACCAGTGGCCTTAAAAGGGTCCTTTCCGTCCATGCTTACAGGTGAACACAGAGTTTGGGTGTTACTCCTGTTGGATTTGCATCCAGAAAGTGGCTCTTTGAGGCACTGGGTTTCAGTCTCTCCAGCTGCAGTCCTAGAGAAAATAATTATAACAGATGCTATTCTTCTTCTTCTTCGCTTTCACCGGCTGTTAACTCAAGTTGAAAGATCTGATTGTCCGTCCACTTCTAGACTTTATTTGTGTTTCAGAGCTTGAGTGTTTCGTGTACGTTCCTTTACAAAATCTGACTTATTTGTATGCAGATTGTTGGTTTCGTGGCTCTCAGGCAGATGTACTGTGGCTTCGACGGGAGGCAGTGGGTCTCTTCTTGTTTTGCCCACAATAGGACCTCAGAACCCACACAGGGAAACCCCTTAATTAATTAGTCGTGTTTTATGACATATCTAGTTACAGGGCAATGGGTCTTCTGTTTTCTGTTTTCTTCTTTCTCAAAATGGAAGTCTGCAACCCACATCGGAAATGCTTGTATTCAACATTGTAAATTCCTTCAAAATCAGAGTGAATGTACTTGAGGGGCAAGGAACTAGCAGTCTGTACACAAATAAGCCAGATGTGTAAAACGGATGTGCACGCAACACTGAAGAACTGGAACAAGGCCACAGTCCACAAGTGGTGGAACAGCCAGGACTTTTCACTGGAGTGTATAACTGGTGAAAACTAAGAAAAAGAAGAAGAAGACAAACATTACAATTGTTAAATGAAACAAAAAGAGATATTTTTCTATAAGTTTCTGTAGTGCCTAAATGTGTCTGTTTTATTTTAGATTACAGCACAGTACAACAGCTGAATGAAACTGTGTATACTAACTGCAATGCTACATACAGCCCCATGGACAAAACATGCAGAGTGTCTAGAACTATGTTTGGGGATAGTTGTACCTCATCCAGGAACTACGGCTATGGAGGTGGTCAACCTTGTGTGTTCATCCAGCTTAATCTGGTTAGTGTGAATTAATTAATTAATTACGAAAATGTGTGGAGACAGTTGTATTTCATCCACGAACTGTTGCTTCAGATGTCATCAGTGTGAATGAAATCAAAATTGACATAAATGTACTTGAGAAATGCCCACATTTGCTCCATCCCCTTCTTCAGTAGCCAGTGCAGTGTTCCCAAGCTGATGTTGCCAGTATGTCTTTTTTTTGTTGGCATTTGTCAGCTGTAAACTGCAGCTGCAAGTCCTGATTCTCCTCTTCCTCCTCCTCCTCAGCATTCACCGGGTGGAAACTCAAGCGGGAAGTTCTGGTTGTTCAATCACTTCTGAACTTCACTCCTTTTCCGAACTTGTGGATTACATGCATATTCAGTTTACAGATCTGACTTATTTATAAGGCAAACTGCTGGTTTCCTCAGGTAGATGCACTTTGACTTCGAAGGAAAAGTCCGGATTGTTTCTCCATGTCTGCAGTGGTCTTATTCCAGGACTTGTGTGTCAGGTGCACATCTGTTTTAAAAAACTGTCTAATTGTGTGCATTGGTTCCCTGCCTCTTAGGCTGTTGTACTCCGACTTCAAAGGAAATGGACCCTCTGCCAAAAACCTAAAAATTATATCACAGTGGTTGGGTTTGTAAAAGATTGCTTATATTTTCCTCGGATGTCTCCGTCTCCATGTTCTTCTTCGCGTTCACCAGCTGTAAACTCTGGCAAAAAGTTCTGGTTGTTCATCCACTTCTGGACTGCAGTCCTGTTCCAGAACCTGAGTGTTGCGTGTGCATCCATTTTACAGATCTGACTCATTTGTATGCAGACTGCTGGTTCCTTGCCTCTCGGGCAGATGCACACCGACTTTGAAGGAAGCTCCCAATTAGTCGACTTACAACATACTTTTGTGTACGCAGTGGGTCTATTCTTGTGTTTCCTATAATAGGGCCCTGAAACCCACATGGGGAAAAACATATTTAATCTAAATTGTTTTTAAATCTTTCTTTCCAGTTTTATAAAGGTGTGTAAAGGGAGCAATCAGTAAAGAAGTACAGTGTGAAGAATTAAAAGGAGTGCATTTCCTGTGGCCTAAAACAAATGTGTACTAATTGAGACTTGCCATGACCTCTATCAGCGAGGCTTATGAGAAATTTTAAGTCAATCTGACTTTTAAAAGGCTATTGGATTCACAAAGAAACCCCTCTTATTGTTATATTTAGTCAATATATTCACATCCAGGTCTTCTATACACTTCAGAAGCACACAGAACCAGTGGCATTTAACTAGATAAGAACATGTCACTGCAGAAATGGTGATACATCAGCATTTACGGGGATGTATCATAACCAGAAGAAGCTAGATTTAGCCGTCGGTTGATAGTGTTGAAAAAACGACTGAGTGCACCTTCTCCTCGACTTAGAACCTATTCAAATTACAACCATCCACACTTATGATCTCAAAAAATAAATAAAAATAGTAAAGAAAGAAAGGTAACTATATTGGTAGTGTCAAAAGTTCCTTAACTGATGCAGTATATATTTTCACCTTGTGTACATTAATTATACGTACATAGATTGAATTTTTTGTGTTTTATATACAATTGTTATAACTGTTTAAATGAAAAGGTAGTTGAACAAATATAAATTCAAACGCAGCTGTGTTGTTAGTCAAGGAGACCCTGTATACTAGCCACTGTGTTACTGCATGCTTTTTCCCCTTCATGTTTTGATGCAATATTCCCTGTTGGCTAATGCTTCACTTTTGTTCTTCTGCAGCCGGATGGTGTGACCATCAGACCAATCACAAAGGAGAGCCCACTGTGGGAAGCTGCCAGAGCTGTAGTGGAAAATGTGTCAGATCCCTCATTTTTGCCATTTACTTGTGATGGGACGGTGAGTATCTTAACAGCTCTTTTTAACTCTTTAGATACCAGAAGCATTCCCGGTAAAAGTTACTCTAGAATTCTTGAGCAGAGACTTAGAAGTCTGGTAGAGCCACAGCTGGACGAGGCCCAGTGCGGCTTCAGAGCAAACCGAAGTACTCAAGACCTTATCTTCACACTGAGACAGATGAGTGAAAAAGCCGTGGAATATAAGAGTGAGATTCACTTAAGTTTTTTGGATCTGGAAAAGGCATTTGACAAGGTACCCTGGAACAAGCTCTGGGACTGCTTGGCAGGGAAAAACATCCCAGCACCCCTGATCAGTGCAATACAGAATTTCTACAAAAAGTGCAGAAATTATGTAAGAACAGCAGACCAAAAGTCAGAAGAATTTAAGACCACCAGCGGTGTTAGACAAGGTGATATTCTCTCACCTTACCTCTTCATTCTTATGATGGATGATGTCATCAAGACCTGTAAGGAGAAGACAAAGAAGTACTCTGTAGGGTACTGGAAGATGAGACCAATCTGTATATCAGAGCTGGCTTTTGCAGACGATGTGGCCCTGATAGCTAAATCAGAGGCACACCTTCGGTCTAACTTACTTGTCTGGAAGGAAGAGCTTGAAAAGAGAGGGATGACCATCAGTATCTCCAAAACTAAAACCATGGTGATCTCAAGAGAGGAAAAGAAACACCAGATCATGATGGGTCAGTATGCGTTGGAGCAGGTTAACCAGTTCAAATACCTTGGAGTTGTATTAGACCAAAATGGAGGCATTAAGACAGCTGGCTACACGAAAAGCAGCTGCTGGGAGCCTCTTCCAGGCCATAAACCGAGGGTTTCTTAGCAAAAGAGAAATTGGCAAGAGGACGAAAATGGCTGTTTACCGCTCTACCTATGTACCAGTCCTGACCTATGGGTGTGAGTCATGGGCAATGACAACAGCTCACAGAAGCCAGCTGCAGGCCTCGGAAATGAGATACCTGAGAAAGCTGGTCCAAGTGACAAGAAGGGACAAAGTCCGCAATCAGACAATACGTCAAGATCTTGATACCCAGCCCTTACTAACCCGAGTGGATCAGTCACAGTTACGATGGTTTGGACATGTGTGCAGAATGGGAGAAAATCGGCCACCATGGCAAGCATGGGAGGCTAAGAACCAGGGAACCAGACCTCCGGGACGACCCAGGGTGCGCTGGGAAGACAACATCCGACAGTCCCTGACTGACAGAGGACTGGAATGGAACAAAGCCAGAAAGAAAACTGCTGATAGAGACGTCTGGCGATCTCTCTGGCAAACCTCTACACCCCAAGGTAGAAGAGGAGCCACTAAGCTAAGTAAAGGATACCAGAAGACAGTTAAACAGTAGTAATAAAGTCATCATCATCATGTAGCAAGTCCTTTGCAGAATGTCACTCTCATCACAGTCTGCCTGAAAGAAACTCAGTCTCTCGCCAGTTCTCCCGCCTCATGAACTTTCACACTCAAGGGGTCACTTATATCCTGTGCCCATCTTTGTGTCGGTCGGCCCTTGCCCCTCCTTCCTGGTACCATGCCTTCTGCTATGATTTTTTCCAATCCGTCGTGGTGCTTGAAATAAATAGTAATATATAAAAATAAAAATATAGTCATAAATAATGGTAATGATGGTAATACAAGTAATACTATTAATAATATTAATAAGTAATCCTAATAAAAGTAAAAATAGTAATAAATAATAGTACTGATTGTAATAAAAATAGTAGTTGTAGTAATAACTGATAATAATAAACGTAAACATAGTTATAAAGATAGTACTAATTGTAATAAACAAGTAATAGTGATAACTATTAATAATAAAAGTAAAAATAGTAATAAATGGGGAGTTACTAAGTCTGAAGATACTCCATCAAGAGGCTAGTTGTATTATTACAGGTAGAGGAATACAGTAAGAAAACAGAAATTTTGAATTTGTTTGTAAAAGCCATTATGACATCATAATTTGTCCTTAGCCTTAATCGTAACATGCTTATGAGTCTTTCAGCAATTGTTTAGACCGAAAGAGATGTTCTTATATTTCAAAAACAACAACCAAAAAAAAAAAAATGGAAAAATAATAAATTTATAACTTTTTGACAAATTTTTTAGTGACCTCTGTAAAATGTTTCTGGGAATTGTGGGGGAAAAAATTATTTCTTGATAAAGATTCTAATTCAAGACCTTCGGGTCAGCAGCCTCAATATGCAAATAGATATCTTAGGTCTTTACCATATATGTGATATTTCATACTCATATTGTGAAATCTATCTTATATGAGGCTCTAAGCTACCAGTGTTAGACATGGTCAACACAACAAACCATCAAAGATAATGAGTAACCATAGAAATGAGATATCTGCAGGAGTGACAGCAAGAGATAAAATCAGGAATTAGGTCATAAGATTAAAAAGTCAGCACAGAACCAATTCTAAATTATGTACAGACAGCAAATCAAATGGTTTGCCCACTTAAAGAGAATCCCTTGTGACACCTGACTGTACAAGGCATATTCCAGAAGAGAAGAACAAGATGAAAAGATGACACCAGAGAAACTCTACGACAGCAGGATGTGTCCATGGTCAAGGCGGTCAGAAGAGCAACAAGTAGAACCTTATATCTCCTTCGACACCCAAAGCTGTGAAGAGGAAGTGAAGAAGAAGAAGATTGTAGTATCTGCCACTGGATTACCTTTCTTTATATATGATCATATGTGATCTGTTTTACCCACTGACAGACTCAAGGTGACAGAGATATCCTCACGAGTGTTGACGGCTACGGTCCACATGGAGAACGGATCATGTACTTCCCAAAGCAAGGCCTGATGTCTTATATATACAGAGAGAGGAAGCCCACCCACCCTTTTCTGAAACCAGGGGTCATGGTGCAGTTCACATCCCTTGTATCCGGGCATACAGTCCGCATCACCTGCACAGCTTGGGGTCAACTTTATGATGCCGAGAACAGAATCATTGACCACACACTCTTGTCCACATATTTTGCTTTATATGTCAATCATGAGTAAAGATGATTTTTTGTTTTCATGGAGATCTACTTTTGTCTGCTTCTAAATTTCTTATTTTTGTATTCCAGAATTATTTTACACGGAATATGTGATTACTTTGTGATGAATTAGAACAGCAAAATGTCTATTATCTATAAATGTAAAATTGTGTGTGTAAGAATAATAGTCGTTGAAAATGTGAATACATCATTTATGAGAGTAACTCTTTCTGTACCAAGCAGCTCACTGTACGTTCACTGATAAGTCTGGAGCCAGTTTTCTGACTCTCTTGTATTGCAGGCAGTTAATATCAGCTCACTGTACAAGATTGTTTTGTTCTTCCTCACAGTGTTATTTTTTAACTAATTTGGATAAATATTGGCTACTTTAAAAAAGATAGTTTTGTTTTGGAAAGTGTAGAAGAAATTATAGTTTGGTCATGGGCTTTGTAAAGGATGTTCCATAAGTGCCTCCACAGTCAACATTTTTAAATAATTGTGTGCTGCATCATGAGAACATCTTAAGAACATCATGAGAACATCTTTAAAATGTCATGAAAACAACATGAGAATGTCTTGAGAACATCTTGTGAACATCTTGAGAACATCATGAGAATGTCTTGACAGTTGTGTAGTTACAAATGTTCAGTCACTGAGGAGGCACTTAAGGATGACCCTCTATGAATTAACTGAAATGTTTTGACGATATCGAGCGCCAAGGACCAACCAGCACAAAGATGAGCACAGGATATAAGTGACTCCTTGGGTAGGAAAGTGCATAAGACCTAAGAACTGGCGGACCGTGATGAAAGCGATTATTTCCAAAGGTCCTGCTGCATGATTATGACTGAAAGACTTAATGGAACTCATTATAAAAATTGAATTAAAGAATTCTGTGAACTACCTTAATCTTAGTTTTAGTTGAGGTTTCAGCATCACTGCAATTGCGTTCCCCCTTACTTGCTCCGTTCCTGTACCCATGCAAATCAAATTAGATGTCCCTCAATGCGTTTAAAAAACTGGTAAACAAACAGTTAGCCCCGGAACAATCTAGAAATATGCGCATGCAGCTTATGCACATTTCAGTTCGCCAAAAAACTAAGTTTCCACCAGAAATGCAGTCCGTCATTGGATGGAAGTAGTCGGGCACGACAGGTTGGCCATACACACTTAGAATTATTATATAAGGTATTCCACCAGCTCACTCATAAACCGGCTAGCAGCCATACTGAACACCAACCACACAACCGCTGCACAAATGTAAGGCATTCCACAGGAAAACAGACACATGGATTGTATGAGATCTGAACACGACAAAATTTGGCTTAAGAACAATAAAATGTCTTGGAAAGTGAAATTTGGTTATTACAATAAAGATGACAGAGTTTCAGAAAGAGCAGCAATGGAAAGTATAGTTCCTGAATGACAAAGCTGTGATTAGCCAAGATGAGAATGGACATCAGAAAGTAAAGACAAAGCTGTGGTTAGCCAAGACGAAAATGGACATCAGATAGTAAAGACAATGCTGTGATTAGCCAAAGATGAGAATGGACATCAGATAGTAAAGACAAAGCTGTGATTAGCCAAGATGAGAATGGACATCAGAAAGTAAAGACAAAGCTGTGGTTAGCCAAGACGAGGATGGACATCAGAAAGTGAAGACAAAGCTGTGATTAGCCAAGACGAGGATGGACATCAGATAGTAAAGACAAAGCTGTGATTAGCCAAGACGAGGATGGACATCAGATAGTGAAGACAAAGCTGTGATTAGCCAAGACGAGAATGGACATCAGAAAGTGAAGACAAAGCTGTGGTTAGCCAAGACGAGGATGGACATCAGATAGTAAAGACAAAGCTGTGATTAGCCAAGATGAGAATGGACATCAGATAGTGAAGACACATGGAATATGATACTGGATAAGGCAGCTGTATAGTTTTCCTGTCAGGCTATGTTAATGTCAACACACTGCAAAATCAAATTGTTGCAGTGTTCAGCCTCCGACTGCAGCGGAAACCTTCCCCAACCAGTACAGCTCTGTAGTGCTTGCGTGCATGCTATTTATCCCCTGCTGGTTGCGACGTGAACAGCTGGTACCATGATATCAGAAGATCTTTAGAAGTTTGCATTGTGAGCACAACATACAGAATATTGGATACCCATTACAGCCATTGTTCAGTGGCACTTGATGATGAGTACATTGTATGTACCCATTTTTTTTTTTTTTTTGTTTAATGTGCATCTGTATTAGCTCATTTGAGTCTTATTTTCATACAAGCATGTAGCCAGTAGTTGCTGTAGTGTTGTATCCTTGTATGTAACAGTAAATGGCCCTGTTTCTTCATATTTAGTGTTGTAAGTTGCCTGCAGGTTGCCTAGATGTACATTGTTGAGTTTTGCTGTGTTTCTCAGATGTCACAGGAAATTATCCCTGTTATTGTTCGCCCTGGGTAATAGGACACAAATTATGTTCAACATAATATTGATTTGTTGAATTTTCTTTCCTGGCAAATAATGTTGTACATGTGTAACATAATTATTGGTTTCAAGGAAAATAATTTGGTACTTTATTTTTCCGTTGTATCCTATCTGTCTACTTCTTTCTAAGAGTGCCAATCATTCATGTTAATTTGTTTTTTTATACCACTTATTTTCCCATAAAGATTCTCTTTATACAGGTGTCATACACAAAAATCTTTTTTATAACGTCTTTCTATTTTAGTGTTCAACACAAATTATGTTGCACATGTATATACGTCTGTTTTTCAGACAAATTCTTTTGTGCATTTATATAATTCTTCCACTTCTTCCTCTTTTCTGTAGTTCTTTTTTTTTCTTCTTCTTCTTCGCGTTCACCAGCTGTACATACACTCTGGCGGAAAGTTCTGGTTGATCGTCCACTACTGAACTGCAGTCCCGCTCCAGAACCTGAGTGTTGCGTGTGCATCAGTTTTACAGATCACATTCTCTTGAATACAGACTGTTGGTTCCTTGCCTCTCCGGCAGATGCACTCCGACTTCAAAGGAAGCTCCCCAATTAGTCGACTCTTACGACATGCTTTTGGGGAGGCAGTGGGTCTATTCTTGTTTTCCCCACAATGGGGCCCCGGAACCCACACAGGGGGTTCTTTTTTTTTTTTTTTTTTTTTAATTTGTATTTGTTACCTTTGAGCATAAGAGGTATCAGGTAAGAGCCTTGGTGTGGGCTATGTAGCTGCTGGTATTGGTGGCCTCAAGTATTTCATCGATTGTGTGGTCTATGTAGCTGCTGGTATTGGTGGCCTCAAGTATTTCATCAATTGTGTGGTCTATGTAGCTGCTGGTATTGGTGGCCTCAAGTATTTCATCGATTGTGTGGGCGACCTCTAGCTCTAAATATTTATTGTCTATTTTAATTGTCTCGTTACTGCCTCGTAGTCCATTACCGGTCAGTGTTCATTTATCATAAGGATCCGCCTTTTTTTCTTCTTATTGTTACCTTGCAAGCTTTTATCCACTGCCGGCTTACTCGGCCTGTCACAATTTCAGGGAGTATCTAACCAGATGAATTCCGTCACACCTGGTAAACCAGAGCCCAATAAGCCTGAGACCTCATGGCCTCAGTTTTATGTGTATCATTCTGTTTTATAATTCCAGTGAATCGCTGTTGTACTTGGTACTTTTTTATAGACAGAATTTGATATTAATTAAGCTTCATATTTGTGGATTGAGGATACATGTGTGTATCTTTTTTCTCCTAAGTAGATGTCTGCATAAAACATCTCTGTCTTGTTATGTTTTGTTTTGCATTAAAAATGATTTTGATTATGTATATATTAAATGATATTTTTTAAACATTTTTCTGGATAATTTTTTATATTAACCAAGTTCCGCTTTTATTACCGCTTCTAACATGAGAGTGAGTTAAACTAAATGACTTGTCGATATTATGCTATAATAAATGTGTAGATAGCCCTTTTGCCCACACACATTTTCCCCTGTATATGAAATGAGCTCAATATGACAAATTCTTAAGCTTTTCCTTACAAACTGGCTTTTTTAGGAGTACTAAAAAGCCAACAACACTGGTAGCTTATTATAAAGTTAAAAGAGTTGCACGGTGAATTTTGTTACAAGAATGGACACAAGCAGGCAACCGAGATAGATATGACTCAAGAATATTTATAAAATCGATTTGACATTACATAAATTTACGTATTTAAATCAAGATAAGTCATGTATCACCGCTAATCACTGGCATTATGCAGGGTAATAGACAGAAATAGTTGGCACAAATAGAGCAAATGGCAGGTAACAGAGGGACAAATACTGTGTACACAAAGGAGTTGAATGGAAGAAGACTCACAGCAGACCAAGAAGATGATGGAGAGATAATATTCATGCAGACCAATAAACCGAGTCACCAGCTGAAAAGAGAAGGCCGGTAACAGAAATGAATTGTAGTGGGTCATATCTGCAGCAAAAACCTCACTGGCTATTACATTGAAATACCTAGGACATATAGAGAAAATGGCAAATAACAGTGAGACAGATACTGTGTACACAAGGAATTGAATGAGAGTAGACTTAGAATAGACCAATAAGATGATGGAGAGATAATATTCATGCAGACCAACAAACACAAGGATTCAGTAACAGAGATGAATTCAAGTGGGTGATATCTGAAGGAGTCAACCTCATGCGCTCGGAATGCTGAAGAAGAAGAAAAGTCTTTAAAAGTTTAATGGAGTTAATGAAAACGGAACAGATTGAAGAGCTTTGTGCTTACTGACATTTTATTGTGTTGACCTATGTATCTTGACAGCTCAGTTTGTAGTGTGCTTCATATGCTTGTTAATGCAACAAATAATGATAACAGTGCATATGTGTAAATTTATTTTGACCCGTCATGAGAAACACTTGGAATATACTGTAACCGGTGGAAATAATCATGGAAGAGTGATGGAGAAGATGCTGAATTCTTGCATTTTGTTCATAGAGGGATATAGTTGTTTTTTTTTTTGTTTTGCAGCAAAAAAAGGTTC